GGGAAAAGGATGTCATTGACCAATAGGCCAGAACAGATAGGCAACTCAGAAATATTGGTAAGTGCAAGAATTTAATGTAAGAAATTTAGATTTAACATAACCAATCAGTGAGGAAGTTGTTTATTTAGTAAAATGTTCTGAGATAATCAATTATCTTTTATGGTTTAACGTTTTGAGGAATTGCCAAACTATTTTCCAAATTGACTGCACCATATTATGTTCCCTATAGCAACATACAAGGGTTGCTGGTCCTCTTTACCTTCACCAACACTTGTTATTGTTTTTTTTTTTTATTGTAGCCATCCTAGTGGATGTGAAGTGGTATTTCATTGTGATTTTGGTTTGAAGTTGAACAGTTTGGTGTTTTGGGTTTTTTTAATAACTTTAAAAATGGGTTTTGTTTTGATATTAGGTCAGCTTATTGGGCTTTTCTATAAATTGAGTTAAATATTAAGGTAGAACTTAGCAATATGCCTTGGGAACATGGCTCTGTGAGAAGTGATACCTGAAGATTCAGATGTAGTTTCCATCTTTTCTTATTAGACAGGACATAGTTTGTATCTGAATCTGTGTCCCTTACACTGAAAGCCACAAGGCAGGCCCTGGCTTATAAAAATCAATGTCACTGACAGTTAACAGAGGCAGAGAATCAGTATGAAGAGAAGTAAGTAGTTTGGCAGCAAAATAAAAGTTGCTGTTTCTTTCCCTGAATGTTCTCAGTAGCCTGAGATGTCTAGTTATTGAAACAATGAGGTCCTTACTTACCTCTTCATACCCGTTATTTCTTTATACCATTTATCATTGGTAACATTACCTGATAGTCAGCTAAAGGCTAAGAACTGGGATATGAACAGAAATAGCTTAAGACTCATGCCACCACCAGAAGCTGTTTGTGAATTCAGTTTAGATCACAGTATCTAAAAATGTAGCCATGTTGAATATATACAGTATATGATTTGGGATTTCTTTGTCTTATATTGAGATATAGTTTTTCTCAACTGTTAAAAATATGTATATGTAACATAAAATTTGCATCTTAACCATCTTTAAGTGTACTGTTCAGTTATACTAAGTATATTGCTGATTTGTTTTGAAGCACAATATTTTTGTGTAAGCCACAAGACAGGCCCTGGCTTATAAAAATCAATGTCACTGACAGTTAACAGAGGCAGAGAATCAGTATGAAGAGAAGTAAGTAGTTTGGCAGCAAAATAAAAGTTGCTGTTTCTTTCCCTGAATGTTCTCAGTAGCCTGAGATGTCTAGTTATTGAAACAATGAGGTCCTTACTTACCTCTTCATACCCGTTATTTCTTTATACCATTTATCATTGGTAACATTACCTGATAGTCAGCTAAAGGCTAAGAACTGGGATATGAACAGAAATAGCTTAAGACTCATGCCACCACCAGAAGCTGTTTGTGAATTCAGTTTAGATCACAGTATCTAAAAATGTAGCCATGTTGAATATATACAGTATATGATTTGGGATTTCTTTGTCTTATATTGAGATATAGTTTTTCTCAACTGTTAAAAATATGTATATGTAACATAAAATTTGCATCTTAACCATCTTTAAGTGTACTGTTCAGTTATACTAAGTATATTGCTGATTTGTTTTGAAGCACAATATTTTTGTGGTGAAACTTTATATTCTCTAACTTTGTCTTTCAGCAAACTACTTACCCTAAAAATATTTGCTGGAGATGAACATTAACTAGTTTTTAAATATATTTAGATGAACATTAACTAGTTTTTAAATATATTTAGAAACCTCATTGGAAAGTGTGGTTTGAAACAAATGCCTCTCGATGGTCATCTGTGCAGTCAGCCAGCACGTGTGGGTTGAGTGCCTCTAAGAGCTGTCTCTGTGCTAGGCCAGATGGATAGAGTGGAAAGCAAAAGTGGACAGGGTCCCCTCCATCTAGAGATCAGTGTCTGCAGGGAAAGACAGACTGTAATTGTCCAGTCCCCAAGTAATACAACTTTGCAGTTGTGATAGAACCGTGGTGGAGTAATACTGGGACTGAGTGCTCACATGAAGGATGGTTTAACTTGGTCAGAAAGGCAGGTGTGGCCATCTGAAGATGGCTTAACACTCGAGAGGGGAGGAAAGAGTGTCCAGACAGAGGGAACAGCCTGTGTTCCGTCAGCAGAGAGCGTGGTGATTACTCAGGCTGGGAGGAAAGCTGGTGAGGCTGGAAAGCAGAGAGCCTTTGGGAGAGCTGAGTGAGGTGGGCAGTGGAGGGATGTTAGGGCAGAATTATGCAGGGCCATGTAGGCTGCTTTATGCTATATCAGGGTTAGAGATGTAAGTTTTTTTAGAGGTTTGTAAATACCAGGTATCTCTCATGACTAATAAAAAAATCATTAGTGTACAAATATGTGTGTGCGTGTGCACACGCACCCAGAAGATTTATCACAAGGAATTGGCTCATGGAATTGTGGTGGTACAAAATTTTTTTCTTTTCTTTTTCAGGTGGTTGGAATCCATATGCAGGGAATTGGATGTGATGAAATGCTGCAGGGTTTTGCAGTTGCAGTGAAAATGGGAGCAACAAAATCTGATTTTGACAACACGGTTGCTATTCATCCTACCTCTTCAGAAGAACTGGTCACACTTCGTTGAGAACCCAGAGACTTGTATGGCTGGCAGCTCGACCAGTAGACCTTCAGAAAGGAACCAAATCATCACGTTTACTTACTGTTCCCATTTTACATATTTCTTTATCGTAATCAGAATCTTCCAGGTGTGGAAATTTTCGGTCAGCTTATTTATGTAATTAGAAACTTGTTTTGTTATTCAGGATTGATTTTTCACTTGGGCACATCTCTCAGTAATTACTATTTGTTTTATTAATAGCTCTGGGCTGGCTGGTTTTTGTGTTTTGTTTTAGCCTCATCCCAAGTATAAAACTATATGAAGTACAGTTAAACAAATGTACCTGAATGAATATTGCTTGCTAATTTTTATAGAGGAAGATGAAAGCTGCTCTTCACGTCTAAAGAATGCAAGTACAGAGTCATTTTGTTTTTTATGAAGCCAGTACTGTGCTCTGCATATTGCAAAGCTGTTTCAAGGATGTGAGTTTTCTCTAAAAACATATAACTTAAGAGGCATGCCTCCTGTATTTTATTCTTTCTTTTGTTCTAAATGATTTTAAATGATTCCTGTTAACTTTTAAGAGATGAAGTTCATCAAATTTGGGAAAGATTTGAGAAGGCTGGTTGCGTGAGGGACTTTTGAGAGGTGATCCTGGCTTTCAGAAGGAGAGGGACTCAAATACTTCAAAAGTCCTTTCCTCTGCTAAGAGCTCATAGTTAAATGACTGGTTGCAATTTTTGTATGTGTTCTTGTCATTTTATTTTTTTGAAAACTATTTCCAAAAATCTGAAAATAAAATCACAGTCTTTTCTTCTTATAAAATTTGTTATGAGTTAATGGGTAACAGTTCATTTTCTAAGAATATTTCAGATTGAAGGGTCAGATGGCCAAAGTGAGCTACATTAAGTAGGCTTAAGGCCTTATGGAGGAGAAGAGAGATTTGCTTTTATAAGACCAGAGACTTAATAGAAACATTTAGTGAATATAATGGTTGAGAAATCATAAGTTTTTAGCATTTTATTTCCATTAGCCTTTACCAGCTAGGTTAGGTAAGCTGGTTACATTTTTCCATGGCTTTCCATAGTGACTTAGTGCTACTGACTTCTGTCATTAAGCTTTTACTGAATGTCTTTCTGGTTAACCATGGCCAGGTTGCCGCTGCACTGATGGATTAAGTAGGTCCAGTCTCAACAAAAGAAAACTGTCGCTAGTAACCAGGTTATATATCTGTCATGTCGAGAAAACAGGGTCTAAAAACCTGGACCTGAACTGACATAATCACTGCCTATCTCCTCCACCAGCCAAAAGGTCATGGCCCGCAGTCCTGGGCTCTGCTGACCTGGTGGGTTTCCTTTTATCTCAGGAGCCTGCTACACTGCCTTTTTTCTGGTTCCAGAGTAAACCAACCTGGAAATAACCTTTTCCAAGTGTTAGTCTTCTTTCTCATTAGTCCTCAGCTCAATCTAGCCTGCAAGTTGATCACCCAAGTTACTAGTGAAGGCTCAGATACATGAGGCAGTGTGGTGTAGGTGCTCAGTAGGAAGGAAAGCTATAATACTTGGTTTCTTCAAATAACCAAATAATCTAGCATAAGAGGGAGAATTCTACACAACTAACTGGGATTCAAAGCAGCATGTGAAGCATAGAGTGACTATAATTTATTGACTAGAATGGGACACTTTGGGGAGTGGGAGGGGCACTCCTAATTAATTGGGACAGTAGACACAAATTTGTACTCTTGTGGGGAAAAGGGACAGTGCCATCCTAGCAAGGCTTTGGAGAGGTGGAAAGATACAAATTCAGAGGAAGCAGAAACCAGCAGTTTGCTGGGAAAACAAAGAGGTATGTAGGATTTGGAATTTGGGATTGTGGAGGAGGTCAAAGGATGTGGAAGGTACAGTGGGGCAGAGATGACCATGTATATGTGGGAAATGATAAAGTTCAACTTGACTGGAGCTGAAGAGCATGTGTTAGCTGAATGTTTTAGCTGAATGTTCTTTCCCATGAATTCTACACAACTAACTGGGATTCAAAGCAGCATGTGAAGCATAGAGTGACTATAATTTATTGACTAGAATGGGACACTTTGGGGAGTGGGAGGGGCACTCCTAATTAATTGGGACAGTAGACACAAATTTGTACTCTTGTGGGGAAAAGGGACAGTGCATCCTAGCAAGGCTTTGGAGAGGTGGAAAGATACAAATTCAGAGGAAGCAGAAACCAGCAGTTTGCTGGGGAAACAAAGAGGTATGTAGGATTTGGAATTTGGGATTGTGGAGGAGGTCAAAGGATGTGGGAGGTACAATGGGGCAGAGATGACCATGTATATGTGGGAAATGATAAAGTTCAACTTGACTGGAGCTGAAGAGCATGTGTTAGCTGAATGTTTTAGCTGAATGTTCTTTCCCATTTGTTAAACCTGATGATCTGGTGATATATTGATACATAACAAACTGCCTGAAAACAGTTGCTTACCCTAGCAATCATTTTATTATACTTCACAATTTTGTGGATCAGAAATTGGAGCAGGACTGAGCTTGCAAGGATGACTCTACTGTTGATATTGATAAAAATCAATTGGTGGTGTTCATATGGCAGATGGGCTGGTTTAGTGAGTCTAAAACAATCGTCTGTGTGTCAGACACTTGGACAGGGATGACTGACTGAAAGGCTGGGCTCAGCTGGGGCTGTCAACCAAACTGCCCACGTGTGGCCTCTCTAGCATGGCCGTCTCCAAGTTGATAGACTTGGATGGAAGCTCAGGGCTCCCAGAGATTGTTCCAGGATTCCCAGACAGGCAGTGTAAGCCCTATGACCTAACCTTGGAAGTTCTAGAATGTCGCTAATGCTATGTTTTATCAGTTAAGCAAGTCACAGAGGATTTAAGAGGGAGTGAATTGGACTTCAGCCATCATTGGGAAGAGTGGTAAATTTGTGGTCATCTGTAATCACACACACTAATGGCAATCTACTCATTTTACAATGCTTGACTAATGCTTCACCTTTGTGAAGACTTTTCTTTCATAGTCTAATGCATATGTATTCCCATAATTCCTTGTCACATCAGGCGGTCTACACTATGTGTTCACCTCATGTATGTCACTTTCTACTTGGTGTCAATCATTTTCTGTATTCTCTGTTTCAGTTTTGTAATATTCCTGGTATATTATACAGCAAATTTGGCTGCACGAGGACAAAGGTATGTGATTGTGTGATTTTTGAGACTAAGATCTATATTTAAAAAGAGCCCTGTAACCCTCACTGTAACATTTTAATCTCCAACTTTTTTGTGAAAAATGGGTAGGCAGGATTTTCAAGCCTTCAACCTTTTCATGAATTTTTGCGTGAATCTGACCTCCAGGGAAACAGGTAGATACAGAAAATGATTTCCATCATGCTCTACTCTGAGAAATACCCTCTTTTTTTGCCATTGCCATTGATACAATAATTTAGCATGTTGACTCATCAATAAAGATCAAAGTCAACATTTTAAAGGTAAGAATGATTGTATACAGTCATTTCTAGATTTTATACAGTGTACTTTAAGTGCTATTTAATGTCTTAGGAGAAGTTTCAAAAAATGCTAGATGGTAGGTAGCACTGGCATTAAATCTAGATTTTACATTAAAATTTTATGCAAACAATTCCCGTTAAGTTGTATAAGCAAACATTTGTCCATTTTGCATGTTCAACCTCTAGACTCCATACGTTTAAGGAATCCCAACCTTACAAGCCTTGGAGATAAAGCCCAACTCCCCACATAGAACCTGGAAATGCCAGGTGCATGACTTCCCAGGCTCCCTTGCAGCTAAGGAAGAGGCACATGACAGACTTGGCCAATCAGATGCACCCATTCCTGACCATTCAAGAAACCAGTGATGCAAAGAGACAGGGATAGGAGGATCCATCCTAGTTGCAGGTGATGGCAGTTGTAATCAAGGGACAGCCTGGCTGCACTCCTAGTGCCTCTTGTTGGTTTCCAGCTATCATGATTAGAACACCAAGACAGTAATGCTGACCTCACTGGCCCATTTCAGAGTCATGGTTTTGGCCACTGTGACTCTGGCTGCCTAACTTCTGAATATAGATTACTGGTCCTCCCAAGATTCTGTGAGCTACCCTACATAGGATACCATTCCTTTTATTTAAATTAGTCCATGGTTATCTAAAAGTGACACTGACACTTATTTTCCTAAAACCATCTTGAATTTCAAGAAAGCTTGTCTATTAGAACACTTGCTGCACTGCCATTAAATATTTTTCCATATGCTTTGCTCCTTTCAAAGTCAGGGAGCACACCCTACACATTTTTGTGCTGTGTGTTCCTCTTGTTCACTGCGGCGTCCGGTACTGTTGAGTGACTGGGAGCAGTGGAAGATGACAGTAGAAAATTAGGTTGTGCTGTTTGAAGAGAACCTTGATAAATGGATGAGAAGATGAGCAACAAGGAATCATTGAAGATCATCAGAGGAGAAAATGTCACCAAAGTGGGGTTAGAAGATGAAGGTGGAAGTAGCAAAAAAGTAGAGAGTAGGATGGAGATCAGCAATGAGGCTGGCACTATCTTTGTGTAAGTCCATAAAGGGCCTGGACTAGGCTGGTGGCAGTGGGAATGGAAAGGAACACATGCAAGAAAAATTGTATTAAAATGAACTTGCAGAATTTGTGAGCTCATTGAATGTAGGGCTTGAGGGGAAGGGAAGAGTCAAAACTAGGCCTGATGTTTCCAGCAGGAGGGACTGGGAGAAAGATGATACCATTCATAGAAAGACCATTAATAAAATACCAAGAACAGGCGGAGGAACTGGTTGACAGGGAGCAGATGCTTCAAGATTTAGGCATGTTCAGTTTGTGGTCCCAGTAGGGTCCTGGAGACAAAAAAGGTGGAGTTTAGAAGAAAAGTCAGGACTTGGGAGAGATTTGTGAATTATACACCTGGAGATCATAGTTAAAGCCACAAGTCTATCCATGACCCTTAGGGAATGCGAAGAGAGAAGAGGCCAGAGCATGAATAATGCCCACATTTAAAGGATGGATAAAGGGTAAAATCTTGGAGGAAAAAGACAGGATAGAGATAAAGGCAAGGGGGAAGGTGCTCGAGGAAACGGGAGATAAGTCTTAGGCCACTGAACCTGAAGGCAGAGGAATGTTCGCAGAAGTGTCCGTGTTCTTCAGCCAAGGAGCACAGGGATCCCTTCTTTGAACAAGTTTTGCCTGTGCTAAGTTGCTTCAGTTGTGTTCTACTCTTTGCGACACCATGGACTGTAGCCCGCCAGGCTCCTCTGTCCTTGAGATTTTCCAGGCAAGAATACTGGAGTGGGTTGCCATTTCCTCCTTTAGGGGACCTTCCTGATCCAGGGATTGAACCCAGGTCTCCCGCATGGCAGGCAGATTCTTTACTGCCTTTTTTCTTTACAGGAAAACCCCATGCTTGAGTGTGGGGAGGAATAAATACTAGAGTGAATGAGACATGCTTTCATCATGGGGACATGCAAATCAAAAACCACAGTGAGAGATCACCTCACACCTGTCAGAATAGGTATTGTCAAAAAGAACACAAATAACAAATGCTGATGAAGATGTGCAGAAAAGGGAATCCTATTATACTCATGATGGAAATGTAAATTGGTACATCTAATGTGGAAATAATATATGGAGGCTTCTATAAAAACTGAAAACAGAACTACCATATCATCTAGCAATTCCACTCCCGGATATATATCTGAAGAGAACAAAAACATGAGCTCAAAGATACATGCACCCCAGTGTTCACAGCACTTGGAAATTATTTACAATTTCCAAGATATATGGAAGCAAGCATCCATCAAGGGATGAATAAAGAAGATTTGGTATATATGTGTGTGTATATACATATGCTGTGCTGTGCTTAGTCGCGGTTTTGTGTCTGACTCTTTGCAACCCCGTGGACTGTAGCCCGCCAGGCTCCTCTGTCCACGGGATTCTCCAGGCAAGAAAGCTGGAGTAGGTTGCCATGCCCTTCTCCCTCTTATACATACATATAATGGAAATCTAACCATCCATAAAGAAGAACAAAATAGAGCAACATGGAACAAAAAGAACAACGTGGATGGACTTGGAGGTTATTATGCTAAGTGAAATAATTCAGAGAAAGATAAATACTATATGATATCATTTGTATGTGGAATCTAAAAAATATAACAAACTAGTGAATATAACAAGAAACAGATTCACAGATAGAAGAAACTAGGGTTATGAATGAGGAGAGGGAAGGGAAAGGGGCAATATAGGAGTAGGGAATTAAGATATACGAGCAGTTATGTGGAAAATAAGCTATGATACATTGTACAGCCCAGGGAATATAGCCAACATTTCAGAATAAGTATAAATGGAGTATAGCCTTTAAAATTGTGTATCCCTATACTGTACACTTCTAACATATAATTTTGTACATCAACTATTCTTGAATTGGAAAAACAAGAATGAAGTTCCGACACACACTGGTGTTGATGAGCCTTTAACGCGTTATTCTGAGTGAAATAAGCCGGACAAAGAAGGACAGATATTGTATGCGTCTACTTATACAAGGTGCCCAGAATAGGCAAATTCATAGAGACAGAAAGTAGACTAGAGATTGCCAGGCTGGGAGGAGGAAAGTGTGGGGAATTAACATTTAATGGGTGCTGCTTGGGATGATGAAAAAAAGTTCTGAAAATGGGGAGTGGTGATGGTTTCATAACATTGTGAATGTACTTAATCCCACTGCATTATGGACCTAAAATGGGTTAAAATGGTAGATTTAACTTTATATTTTACCTCATTAAATTTTTTTTTTAAATAATTCAGGGAAGAAAATAATATCTGGAACTGCTGCAGCCATCTTGTGGCCATGAGGGCAAAGTTATGCCACAGTTAGCAGATGTGAAGATGGTTCATAATGACACTGTGGTAGTGTTGAATTAATGAGACCCCAAAATATCTGTCTCTGCATTTGTTATGTGAGATTAGAAACTACATATTATTTCAGCTATATTTAGAATAGATCTTTTGTTACTTGCAGTCAAAACATTCTAAACCATAGAATACATTTCCATAGTTCTGAGTTTGCTTATAAGCAAGAAATGAACTTTTTCTTATAAAAATTTAATTTACAAAACTCTGCATTTACAAAATTATAGGAAATAACGTTTTGCATTTAAAAAAACTAAATAGCAGGATTGTTTTCTATAGCAAGTTTCATATATGATAGCACATGCAAAGTATTAGCAGTTATCAGACATTTAGGTAATACTCAATTAAAGTTAGTTCCTTTTTCCTTAGTGTTTTAAAAATATTTAAGTCTCAAAATTCTACTTATATAAAACATCCAGAGTATATTGTACCAATATTGAATGAAATAACCTATATTATATATAAAACATCTATGACATACATAAAATTCATAAAAAGACTCGAAATTTTTATTCAGATAAACCCAATATACCCAATACCCCAGGGTTTTAATAATTTGAAAAAATTGAATATTTGGTTACAGAATTTGTAATAGTTCATAAATACTTTGAAAGCTCAATCTGCTTTAAAGATTATTGCTATGCCTAGATATTTCTTAAACTGTAGCCTGCTTTTTTTGTTTTTGCCCTCTCTTAAGAATTTCCTCCCTTTTTCCCTCCTGTTTGAGTTGTCTCTTTACTCATTGTCTTCATGGAGGAATATGTCAGGGCAGAGAACAGAAAGAACTTTGATTTTCAAAAGCTTAACTCTTGAGGATACCCTTTATCCCCTTTCTTGGCATACTATTTTTTTTTTTTTTCTGAATAATATCTTCTTCCTTTCCTTTGAAAACTCAGATGCAAACTCATCAGCATTGATGTTGTTGCTTTTTGTTTCCAATTTGACTAACGAAAATGACATTTCATTGTGGTTATGCTTTGCATTACTAGGACTTCTTGTGAGAGTGGGTCTATTTTCATGTCTTTGTTGTGATGGGTTCCTGGTCTTCAAATGTCAAACAGGATCAGAATGGAAAGTAAGAACAAGGTGAATATAGAAACAAGAAATTTGCTAGGCCAATACTACACTAGACAAAGGAACTTTCAAGAAATTATACTTAACATGGAGATGGAGAGTAGACAGACTCCTCCAAGTCAAACACTTGCAGTAAAATAAAGCTGCAAAGCCTGACGAGCAGAATGGAATCGGAGTGTCTAGAGCAACTTTGTGGCATATGCTGGAGGCTTAATTACTGACTGGGGAAGCGGGAGAAGACTGAGGTTGGTCCCCCATGAGGTTGTATTGTAGGTGGTTTATAGGGTCTGGAGCCAGGGTGCCTGGCTCTGAGCCTGCGTAATACTGTTTATTTGCTGGGTGACCTTGGACAAGTTACTTAATCTCTTGCTGCCTTCCTTTTTTCATATGTAAAATAGGGATAGTTAGAGTATTTACTTCACTGGTTTCTTGTGAGGATTAAATGAGTTGATGCAGGTAAAGAAGTTAGCATAATAACTAGTGCATAATAAACTCGGTTGCCCATAGGTATTCTTTGTCAGGCCAGTGAAAGCTTCACACAGGAGCCTGATTTCAATATGTCTTCGAAGGGTGAGTGAGTGAGTGAACTTGCTCAGTCGTGTCTGACTCTTAGCGATCCCATGGACTGTAGCCTACAAGGCTCCTCCATCCATGGAATTTTCCAGGCAAGAATACTAGAGTGGGTTGTCATTTCCTTCTCCAGGGGATCTGCCCGACCCAGGGATCAAACCCAGGTCAAGTGGGGTTATAAAAGGGGAAGTCTGAGTTAAGGCAATAATTCAGGTTCATTGTTTTAAAACATTTGCTGGGTTTCTTCTATGTGGAGGGCACTGTGCCAAGTCCCAGAGAAGACAGAAGCTTCTGGTCAGGAAAGATGAGGAGACTTTGCAATCAAACCAAAAGCTTGCAATCAAACCAAAAGTTGAAGGATGGGAGGAGGCACAAAGGTGTTTTGAAGCCAGCAGGTTCTGTGCCCCTTGGCCTTTGGTCTCTGGCTCTCTTAGGCCACTTGCTGCCAAGGATGCCAACAGAGGTGGGGCTGAAGCCCTACTGTGATAGGAAAAGGGAAGAGAACAAGTTTAAATTATCCTTCTGCAGGGGATCTTCCCCAAACAGGGATTGAACCCTGGTCTTCCGCAATGCAGGCAGATTCTTTGTCAGATGAACCACCAGAGAAGTCCTAAGTTATTGCCATCTGTCCCTAAGTTGTATGTGACTCTTTGCAACCCCATGGGCTGCAGCCCACCAGGCTCCTTTGTCCATGGGGTTTCCCAGGCAAGAATACCGGGGCAGGCTGCCATTTCCTTCAGGGGGTAGGGGGCACTTAAGTTATACCCAATCTTTAAAGTGTTTTTGTTGTTTCGTTTTTAAATTTGATTAATTTATTTGATCATGCCGGATGGCTTGCTGGATCCATCCCACACCCTCTTCTTTGGAAGGGTTGGAGTCTTAACCATTGGCCTGCCAGGGAAGTCTCAAGTAAAAGTTTTTTTGATGACTTACAATGAAGTTGCTGCCAGGCAAATGGTTATTGGGACAGCTGACTTTCATTTACGGACCCTAGTTGAGAAAAGGATACTGTTGAAAGTAGTGAAAGTTAGTCACTCAGTCATGTGTGTCTGACTCTTTGTGACCCCATGGACTGTAGCCCACCAGGCTCCTCTGTCCATGGAATTCTCCAGGCAAGAATACTAGAGTGGGTTGCCATTTCCTTCTCCAGGGGATCGTCCTGACCAAGGGATCAAACCCAGGTCTCCCGCATTGCAGGCAGACTCTTTACCAACTGAGCCAGCAGAGAAGCCACTGTTGAAAGTATAGAGACTAATTATAGCTGTTGTATGGGGAGACCAGTTGACCCCTTGGGAAGTGTCTCTGAGGACATCAGTAGGTAGGTACTTAGTTCTTTGTGCGCAAGAGCTAAGGTTTCAGTGCACTCCTCTAGCAAGCTAGGGATGAACCTAGTGGCTTTCAACCATAAAGTCATAGCTCTATTCCACGTCATCCTCACTCCAGGATCCAGTAGACACAATGCCCCAACCTGGAAGATGGCAGGTGAAAAAAAGCAAGACAGTGAATCGCAAACTAGCTCTTAAAGCTTCTTCTTCGTTATTACATGTGTCACATTCCATTAGCCTAAGCAAGTCACATGCCACTCCTATGTTTAACAGGGCGGTATAATCTTCCTTCAAGAAGAGGTGAGTAATTATGAACAATTACACAACCTACCATAGAAGCCATTGGATTGGCAATTGGGAAATCATTGGTGACCTTTGGATAGACTTTAACTGGAGACTTGGATTCTAATAATAATAGCTATAATTTGCTGATTGCTTGCTCTAATCCACATACTCTGGTGAATGCCTTACCTTTATGGCCTCATTTAATCCTTGTTTGATAACCACGATGAAGTGATCACTCACCTAGAGCCAGACATCCTAGAATGTGAAGTCAAGTGGGCCTTAGGAAGCATCACTACAAACAAAGCTAGTGGAGGTGATGGAATTCCAGCTGAGCTATTTCAAATCCTAAAAGATGATGCTGTGAAAGTGCTGCACTCAATATGCCAGCAAATTTGGAAAACTCAACAGTGGCCACANAGAAGATGAGATGGTTGGATGGCACCACTGACTTGATGGACATGAGTTTGATCAAGCTCTGGAACTGGTGATGGACAGGGAAGCCTGGCATGCTGCAGTCCATGGGGTTGCAAAGAGTTGGACACAACTGAGCCACTGAACTGACTGAACTAAATCCTTGTTATGGGCTGCGTGTTTCTGCCCCCCTCAATTCATACATCAAAACCCCCAGTGGGATGGTATTAGGGGGTAGTGTCTTTGGGAAGTAATAGGGTGGGTGGAGCCTTCATGGTATGATTGGTGCTTATAAGAAGAGACTGGAGAGAGCTTGGTTCCTTTCTTTCAGTTACTCTGTTCTCTGCCACACGAGGACACAGCAAGAAGGCAGGCATCTGCAATCCAGGAAGCAGGCTCTCACCAAACACTGGTCCTATTGACACCTTGATTTTGGGTTTTCTGGCCTCCAGAAGCATGAGATATAAATGTTTGTTGTTTAAGCCACCCAGTCTATGGTAATTTGTTATAGCAGCCCAAGCTGCCTGAGAAAATCCTTTTCATCACAGGTGAGGAAGCACAGGTTTGCAAAGATGAAATATTGGCTCAAGGCCATTTGACTATTAGTAAGTGGTGGATCAAGCTTCCTAGGTGGAGCTAGTGGTAAAGAATCTGCCTGCAGTGCAGGAGACCAAGGTTTCATCCCTGGGTCGGGAAGATCCGCTGGAGAAAGAAATGGCAACCCACTCCAGTATTCTTGCCTGGAGAGTCCCATGGACAGAGGAGCCTGGTGGGCAACAGTCATCGGGGTCACATAGTCAGACACAACTGAGCGCACACAGCAGCCGTGGCAGCAGATAAAGAATAGCTCTTCGAGGATGTCCCTGGTGGTCCAGTGAGTAAGACTTCACGCTCCCAGTGCAAGGGGTACAGGTTTGATCTCTGGTCAGGGAAATATTATCCCACAGGCCGCACTGCATGGCCAAAAACAAACAAAAAAAAAAAAAAAAAAAAAGGAGAAGAGAAGAAAAACTATCTGCCCTCCCTCTATTTGCCTAGAAGTGGGATATAAATTTGTGAAGGTTGCCTCCTCCTCTCTCTACCAGGAAGGTTGAAAGTTAATCATTGGAGACAACTTTGGACCCTTCTCATCCCAGGGATGGCAGCCGAGGAAGGTAGGAGATAGACTTTACTAACAAGCCCTTCTCTTGCATTAGTTTCTCCAAATGTTTGCCTTTACAGTCTACCATCCTAGAAATTCAACATCCTTTTTGCTCAAAAAATCTCATCAGTTCTCTAAAAATGTGTTGTTCTTTTGTTAAGATGCTAAGGACTTCCCTGTTGTCCAGTGGCGAGGACTCTGCGCTTTCTCTGCAGAAGGTGAGGGTTCTATCCCTGCGGGGAAACTAGGGCCCCAAAAGCAGAACAGTGTGGCCAAAAACCAGAGGTGCTAGGTAAGTGCCACTTCTAGCCACCTCTTTGGGTTACTCATCTCTTGGTACTCCCGTGTGTGTGTGTGTGTGTGTGTGTGTGTGTGTGTGTGTGTGTGATGCACATGCTAATAAACTAAACTTCTGTTTTTTCTCTGGTTCATTTGCCTTTTGTTAGACTAATAACAGGACCCCAGTGTGAGAACTTACAATGGGGTAAAAAGACTTTTTTCCTTCCTAACTGGGTAAATGCTTGAGACAGAAGCAGGGTCCTAGAAAGATATTTTCAGGAATGGGCAGGCTGCATCAGAAGGCAGGGTAAATTATCCAAGTGAGCAGAGACTGTCAATGCTAGAGAAATCTACTTACTTTAGCTCTTGTGTGGATGTGGGCTAGTTTGTTATGTTGGTTAATTTGTTCTGTCAGCTATTTTGAGAAGGTAGTTATCTAATTAGTTGAGATGGATCAACTGGTTAGGAGAGTTGAAAGGCAGTAATTATTTGATAGAACTAAGTAAAAATTTTTTTGCTTTACCCAGTTTTCCTCTACCAAGCAATTATTTAGTGTGAAAAGTCTAAATGTAAAATTAAGCCACTACATAAAAAAAAAAAAAAATGAAGTTCTGATACAGGCTACAATGTAGGGGAACCTTGAAAACATTATATCAAGTGGAAAAGCCAGACACAAAAAGACAAACACTGTGTTGCTCCACTTATATAAAGTGTCTAGAATTAGGGTAAATTCATAGAGATAGAGAGCAGTTTAGGGGACTTCCCTGGTTGTCCAGGGGCTGACACTCTGTGCTCCCAATGCAGGGGCCCAGGTTTGACCCCTGGTCAGGGAACTAGATTCCACATACCGCAACCAAGACCCAGTGCAGCCAAATAAAAAAAAATACATTTTAGAAAAAGGAAGTAGATTAGAAGTGAGCAGGCACTGAGGAGAAGAGGAAATGATAAGTTATCCGTTAAGGGGTACAGGCTTTCTGTCTGAGGTGATGAAAACTTTTAGAAATTATGATGATATTTTCACAGTATTTTGAATGTGATTAACACCGCAAAATTGTATGTTTTAAAATGGTTGAAATGTCAAAATTATATATATGTATATATGAGACCCGGGTTTGATTCCCTGGTCTGGAAGATCCCCAGGAGAAGGAAATGGCAACCGACTCCAGTATTCTTGCCTGGAAAATCCCATGGGCAGAGGAGCCTGGTGGGCTACACAGTCCATGGGGTCACAAAGAGTTGGACATGATTTAGCAACTAAACCACAACCACAATATATATATCACAATTAAATAAAATAGTAAAAAATAATTGAAACACTATGTTGGAATTAACCATGTGGTTATATTGAGTTGTTCCTTGGGGTAAGAGGGTTTGGATAGGCCAGGAGGGAAGAATTTTTTTTTTTTAATATACAAAGTATATTTCCCTGAAGAAGTCACCACACTTTCTACCAAAGTGTATGCAGTGTATTTTAAGCATTCAGGAGATAAGACATAAATTGCTATTGCATTAGTAGCTTGGATCCTTCTTCATATAATTTGACATTCACCACGCCCTTCTGACCTGGAAATATTGAGGCTATAATAATTAAACTATTGAAGCATCAGTCGTGGAGACGGTGTATATTACACAAAGAGCCATCCCTGTAAATCATCACGTCCCTCACATCACCTCAGAGTGAAATGTTTTTCCTATTCCTTCCCTGAGCCCTGGCTAGAGGTTGCTTCAGAAGCCATCCGCATGGTGTCTATGTTTTGTAACAAGGATGAGAAGGCAGAATGAAAGTCTGTATGTTTAACCTCACATCTTGAATTCTCTGAAATCAGGCTAATTTGGGCTGCTGTTTGGAAACGTGGTTATCATTCAGTCATCACATAGTCAACATTACCAGCAGACAAAAACGGAATCCTTCTTTAGTTCATTGGTAAGTGTGTTGTTTATGTGTAAGTATGTTTGACACAAAAATGTCCTATTTACAGGCCATATAGGGACTTAATCTTTGTTATCACTTGAATAGTACCTTCAAAGTGCAGGATGTAACCCAAAAGTGTTTTGTATGAATGCGGTCATTGCTTTCAGTGTTATGACTTCATCACAGGAAATAGCCAGTGTAAAGAGGAATGATGCCACTGGTTAATGTTGTTGATCATTTATTTATTTTAATGGTTTGCTGGGGTGTTTAGGAGAGGGTTCTGGTTGAACAATGATAATAACAGCTATAATATTGGGGTAAAGGTGGGGGCAGTTGAGATTTGAGGGTTTGTATTATAAGCAACATATTCTAATATTGGCATTAGAAGGGTTAACATGTCCTATAGGTGTTCCAGGGCTTCTGGGCTGAATCAATTGGTAAAGAATCCACCTGCAATGCAGGAGACTGCTTTCAATGCAGGAGACCTGGGTTCAATCCCTGGGTCAGCAAGATCTCATGAGAAGGTAATGGCAATAAATTCCAGTGTTCTTGCCTGGGAAATCCCATGGACAGAAGAGCCTGGTGGGCTACAGTCCACGGTCACAAGAGTTGTACATGACTTAGCAACTAGACCATCACCACCACCACCACATAGGTGTTCCAACTGCCTGAAATGAGACAGAATGTTGAAATAAAGGAATGCTTGTGAGCATTTTGTCCAATTACTTAAACAAGGAGGCCATAGACTTGGGTGGCTTCAAAGCCTTGGTAAGTCTACACGTGAAATGATAACCTAAGGCAGAGTCACTGGAATCCAAAATAATGAAACTTAAGAACTAATCACCAACAGCCAACTAGGATTTTCCAATAAGGCAGCCACTTAAGAGCTGTAACCGATCAATACTTTCTTTGATTTGCTTCCTTGCCTTCTCTGTAAAAAACCTTTCCCCTTGTTTCTGTCAGTGGAGTGCTAACCATTTTTGGTTTGGGGCTAATTTGAATTGGCATTTGCTCAAACTCTTCAGAATTTTAATGTACCTTAGTACCTTAGTTTATCTTCTAACTTCCTTGCATGCTGTCCATCTGGTAAATCTAGTTCTGTCAAAGGATGATTCTCTAATTGTTAAAATTCTGTCTCAAGTGATTAGTAAGGAACATGTATGTATCCAAGTTTTATTCAGTNCCCATCTATTTGCCATGAAGTGATGGGACCAGATGCCATGATCTTAGTTTTCTGAATGTTGAGCTTTAAGCCAACTTTTTCACTCTCCTCTTTCACTTTCATCAAGAGGCTTTTTGGTTCTGCTTCACTTTCTGCCATGAGTGGTGTCATCTGCATGTCTGAGGTTATTGATTTTTCTCCCGGCAATCTTGATTCCAGCTTGTGCTTCTTCCAGCCCAGCGTTTCTCATGATGTACTCTGCATATAAGTTAAATAAGCAGGGCGACAATTAAACACTAAAAAATGAAGACCACTCAAATGAGAACAGAGACCACATCCCTTGCTACAATGTTAAGCAAGAGATACAGCCACCATCTCTTGCATTTGGCAGAGATTCAAAAGCAGTCATGGAGAGGGGAAGCTTTACAGTGGGAAAAAAGTTGGTGGGGGGGAATGCTTCTAGTATACGCTGGAAGGGGAACTTGGAGGAAGGATGTCTGAAACAGGGAAGTTGGCAGCCTTTGAGTAAATCTTGACCATTGTGAGCTGATTGCTGCAGAGGTCGTGGCTTGGTTTCTCTAGTGGGCCAGAGTTTTATCAGCATATATGGTCTAGCCACTGTTCATTTATAAGAATTCTCTCATTCATTAAGAAGGAAGCTAGCAGAATGGTAGAACTGATTCCATGAGTAAATTGGGACTTACATGGTAAATTGGGACTTACATAATCACTGGGGGAGGGATGAAATAAAAATAAATCTATACAAAACTGGCTCATGTTTCTCAGGACAATGTAATTTTAAGCTTTGGAATTTTTTTTTCAGTGTACAACTGCCCCTCCTCATTACACCTCATCAGTTTTTCCTGGGTTATAAAACCTTTGAGTCCTAATAAATTGTTATCCAAATGAAGTTATGTTTCCTGAGGGTGTCAAATGAATATGAAGTGTGTTTATTACAAAATCCTATAGAGTGAAATAAATTTTAAAAAGCCATACAGGGACTTCCCTGGTTGCCTTCCAATGAGGGGGCTGTGGGTTCGATCCCTGGTAGGGGAACTAAGATCCCACATGCTGCTGGGCAACTAAACCCTTGCACCACAACTAGAGCAGGAGCCTGCGTATGATAGTGATGCTTCAGCCAAATAAATACAATAAAAATGTAAAAAACAAACCTACACAATCATCTTTTGGCTTTATTTCCAAATTTTGATTAAAAATTTATTTATTATCTCATTCAACCTTCAAAACAGTCCAATGAAAGTAACCCATTGCGGTAGTTCACTTATTATTCCCATTTCCCAGATGTGAAAACCGAAACACAAGTAACTTGTGGAGTAACGAGCATTAAGTAAAGGGCAGCTATAAAATAGAAGAGCACTGACTATGCGGTCGCTTCAGGCTGCAGGAGTGAGGCAAGGCCAGCAGCACAATTTGACACTCTCCAGTAAACTGCAGGCTGTGGACGAGGGCAGTTGTCTTTTACCGGTTTATTTTTATTCTTACCCCTTTACGCCGCTGCTGAATCCCAAATCCTTTTCTAAGAGTGTGAGTGTTTACAGGGATAGGGGTTCGGAGTTCAGAAACCGGAATTTGCTTCAGAATTTGCCTTTGCTAGCTATGCTGTCTCGAACCAGTCATTTAGTTTCACTGGGTCTATTGTTTCACTCAGGTGTGTAGAGAGAGAGCTGGAACAATGTTCTCCGAATTTTAGGTGACGGTGAATGGCATCTAATGTAAAGTCGCACCATTTTAGCTGCGGCTACTCAACTCCGGGAGTTGGTGATGGACAGGGAGGCCTGGCGTGCTGCAGTCCACCGGGTCGCGAAAAATCGGACACGACTGAGGGACTAAACTGAAGTGACTCCATTCCTAGTTACGTCCCGCCCCCAGTCATCCTCCCGTTGTCATGGAGATCAGGACGCCCAAGTTGGTAGATTTCCCTCCCGCGATACCTGGGCGGAGCACGGGATGACGCATGCGCCTTCTTGGCGGCCGAGGCGCCGCGGTGCCTACCGGGACTGAGCTTCCAGCTGCCCGATCAGGAAGTGGCGGGCGGAGCCGGGGGAAGAGTCGCCGCCTCAGCCGCCGCAGCCGCCAGTGCGGAGACCCCCGAGCTGGCGGGGCAGCGCTGGGCATGCGTGCCGGGCGGTGGAGGCGCTGACAACGAGCCCGAAGCGGCAGCCACGCGGGCGTGGGCGGCTGGTCCAGGCGGAGGCGCTGGGAGGCGGCGGCGGGGTGCGTGGGGCGGCCCCCCTGGCTCAGGTAGGAGCTGCGGACACCGGGTTTGGGGCGCGGAGCCCCAGCCTGTTGTTCTTCGGGGCCTCCTCCCATTCCCGGGGGCACGCGGCCTGCCATCCCCCGGGGAGCCGGGGCTGCGGTTTCCTGCCCGAAACGCTTAACCCGGTTACAGCCGCTCGGGAGCATTGTTTCTGAGGCCGGAGGGTCAGTGAGCAAAGTTTTGGGTTGGAAAGAGGGGAAATTCGAATTGGAGACCTGGTCGTGCCTCTCCTGAGCCCCCAAACTTATATTCGCTGTAGCCGCACGGCCCAGGTGTGTGGAGTTTGGGGAACCGCGGCGCCCAGCCAAGTAAAGGCTGTGATTTAGGTGCTCCTTCACGGATTTTTTTTTTTTTTTCTTTTTCAGCTGCCTCTTGGAAGCCTAGTTATTTGGAATGATTCCTAACCTTGAGTTATAATAGTTTTCTGCAAAGTCTAAAGATATTTTCCAAAACAAGTCGCTGCGGTACTTTTTCCCCTTCCACCTCTACGTTTCTGTCTTTTTAGGGGTAAGCAGTCTCTTATTCTCAGCTTGCCGGCTATTCAAAGCAATATTGACCCCTGCGAGGCTCAGGCAGGCAAATGAAGCAAGAGAGGAAAAGAGTAGAAAGATTGAAAGAAATCAAATGATAAAGTGGATAAATGATAAAGTCAGATGAGAAAATGGGAGGAATGTGGGCTTTGCAGTTAAAAGATTTTCGCCGAACTTTTGGCTTCTCAGCGGGGGAACACGTGAACTCTCTGAGTTGTGGCAGTGGTGTGCGTTTAGTGTAAAACGGGGAGGTTGATGTGTCCTGTTACCACACAGGTCAGTACATGTGAAACTCTTCAGGTGCGGAGTAGTCTTCTGAGAAAAAGGTGGAAGACATTAAACCCTCTGTTCTAGGGACCGTTGAACTTTACCCAGACCACCCAGGTCGCTTTTGTTTTGGAGGCTTTTACCAGCATATTAGGTCTGGAATCAGGAGCACCTGGTTTAGCAATCAGTCTCCTGGCCTCCAGGCTGTGTACTTTCAGCTATGTGATCTTAACTCTGCCTCTTCAGGTATGATAGCATAAATATCTGGTATCTCGTAGAGTTGTGAGGATCAAATGCTGTAAACATCCAGGTCTTTGTAAACTGTAAGACTTTTATTTAAATCTGTGTTAAAATCGTGGTTATAAAAGCCTGGGTTAATAATCTGTCTTTACAAGGTGAAATCAGCAGGTGTTTGTTGTTTTAGGCTTGTTTCCCCTCCCCCCCACCACATCGTTCGGGAATTCTTTCTTGTTCTAATACACTTTCCCTCCCCCAAGACTGTCTCCTACCTTCCTCACCTGAGTATAATCACTGGGTTATTTCTTTTCAGATCCAAGTCAAAATAATAGTTCTGAAATAACATGTTGGTCTAGCTTTGCTGCTTACAAAACCACTTTCACACACATTTTCTCATTTTATTCTTAGAATTGGGCTAGATGTAGACAGCATTGGTAGTATCCTCATTTTACTTATGATGAAATTGGATTTAGAGAGGTCTAGTGGATTCCCTAGGTCATGTTACTGTTAGGGGTCAGAATTTAGGGAGGTCTTAGATTCAAGGTCCAGGGTCAGTGATTCTGCTCTCCTTACCTGAAGTTTGACAAGTTTATTTCTTATCAGTGCTTTTATAAAATTTTATTGAAGTATAGTTAATTTACAGTGTTTCTGATTTCTGCTGTATAACAGAGTGGCTTAGTTAAACTTATACTGTCATATTCTTTTCCATTGTGGTTTATCACAGGATATTGGACATAGTTCCCTGTAGTGTACAGCAGGACCTGTTTATCCATTCTGTATAATAGTTTGCATTGCGCTAATCCGAAACTCCCAACCCTTCCCTTCTCTATCCCCCTTCTCGCTTGACAACCACAAGCTTGTTCTCTACAATTATGAGTCTGTTTTTGTTTTGTAGATGTGTTCCTTTATGTCATCTTTTAGATTCCACAAGTAATGAAATCATATGCTATTTGTCTGTCTTCTTCAAACTTTGCTTAGTGTGATAATCTCTAGGTCCATATTGTGCATATAGCAGTATTTCATTCTTTTTCATGACTGATATTCAGTGCTTATGTTTTTAACTTTCAGCATGCTAAGTCACGTTTTATTTATTCATTGCTTTTTAAGCGAGGTGCTGAGTGCATTCATGTTCTCAAACGTAAGCTTCTTGAAGGCAAGGATTTATCTTCCAAAACTTTCCAAAGGCTGCAGTGCAGTACAGTGCCCCACAAACAGAAGACATTTAATGAAGGCTTGTAAAACTATTAACAGTGAGGCTCAGGCAATTTAAAGATGTTCTTCTGTTTGTTAGTCATTTACAAAATATGCATTGAGCTACCCCATGCCTGAAAGCTTTCAAAGTATAAGAGTCTCTTTTTTGTCACAGAAGGGTGTGTGGGGTTACTCGCCGCTCAAAAGCCAGTAAGCAGGCCAGGTTGGAGGAAAGGAAAGTTTGCTTATTTGAAATAAAGCAGGCCGGGAGAGGGCATATATCTGTCCAAAGGCCAATTCACTGTGCCACCCTCCCCCTTCCCCCCATTGGCAGTGGGGCAAGAGCTTTTATAGATAAAAGAAACAGCGCAGTCAGCTCTGACAGTCATCTTCACGTTGGTCATCAGTGGTCTGACCAGCGTCACCTTGGTTGCTTTAGGTACAGTTAATCTTCAGTTCCAGGGTCCATTTGTTCGCATTTCTTTGAGGCCAGTTCTCGGAATTGTGGCAGCTTCTGTTGTGGGTACAGTGTGGTCATCATGTAGTAACTTCTCCCACCTGGGTTTGAGTATCTGTAAGACAGGCTCACAGGATATGGCTCAGAATATTATCTGTAGTACTTGAGAAGGAACTCAAGGTCCTTGACTGTGCTTACTGACTGCATTATTATTATTTAGTCTCCTTCGATTGTTTTCCTTTGTTTCTTCACTTCTCTGATTAAACTTTGAAGTTTTCCACAGAGAAGAGGCAGGCAGAGGACTTGGTGGAGGCAAGAACCATANGAGAAGAGGCAGGCAGAGGACTTGGTGGAGGCAAGAACCATAAGGTCCTGCTCCGTTACATTTCCTCTGAGAGTTTGCTTATGAACTTATGAACACTAGTCTAAATAGCGTAGAAATTATTTACATAGTCATCTTGTGTACTTCTGAGACTCTCCGTAGGGTTCTAGGGAGAGTTCAGACGAGAGAGGAGTGTTTTAAAATACTTGTTGAATAACCTGTGGTTTCTCTGGTTGTACTGAAGTTGCTCAGAATGTTGAACTCTAAAACGGAAAAAAATCCAAAGAAATCTATCTAGTCCCACCTCCCTCCAAATCAGGAGTTTTCTGTAGATATTTCTTAACAAATATTAATCCAACCTCATCATTGGTTATGATAGTCCACCAGTTTGAAAATATACCTTTTAATTGACAGCTAATTCTGATGGTTCTATTTTTGCAACGAGGCTAAATCTGTCTCCTAATTTCTGCTCAGTGCTTCTGAAGCACCATTGTCCAGTAGGAATACCGTATGAGCTGTGAGTGTCAGCCACACATGTAATTTAAAATTTTCTAGTGGCCTTAATTTAAGAAAAAAGAAAAAATAGGGCAAATTAATATTTTACTTAACCCAGTATATCCAAAATATTATTACATTAATCTCTAGTTATCACATAGTCCATTTAAAATATTTCAGTAATTTAAAACGTTTTTTCGCTATATTGAGTCTTTTTAGTTTTTTGGCTGCACCTCATGCTATTCAGGGATCTTCCCTTCCCTCACCAGAGAGTGAACCTGTGTTTGCTGTATTGTCAGTGCAGTCTTAACCACTGGGGTATCAGGGAAGTCCCTGTATTGAGTCTTTTTAAATCTGGTGTGTATTTTACACTCAGAGTACATCTCAACTCTGTCCCCTTTTAAGGTGCTCAGTTGGCACTTCAGCCAGTGGCGGTCGTCTTGGACAGCGTAAGTTCTGGAGCTTTAGAGAATAATCCTGTTTTTCTTTGCTAGTGCCTAGCGCAGTGCTTGGCACTTAACAGGCACAAATTAAAGGTTTTTTAAATTTTAGTGAATGAGGAAGTGAATGAATAAAAGTCCTAGAGAACTAGTAATAAAAGGCAATTTTGTTTGGGAAGTAACTTTTGTTGAGAACTGTGGATTTGGCATATAGATTTGAGTGACTTGAATCTGTATTAAAAAAACTTATTTTTACCTTTGCAGCATTATGGATCCAAGCCTTTTGAGAGAACGGGAGCTGTTCAAAAAACGAGCTCTTTCCACTCCTGTAGTCGAAAAACGTTCTGTGTCTTCTGAGGCGTCATCATCAAAGAAGAAAAAAGCAAAGCTAGAACATGGAGGATCATCGGGCTCTAAACAAAATTCTGGTTAGTAGAATTGACTGTTTAGTTTTTATTTTTCAGGGAACCACTTAGTCGTGGTAAATTCATTTTTTAGTTCAACATTCGTATTGATTCTTAGATAGTTTGTTAAGTATAAGGGCTAAAATGATGGTTTTTTGCTCTTAAGATGTTAATAGTTGTTTTGTAATTAGAATTTAGGTTATTATCTTAAAAAAAAAAACCTTCATTGAGGTTTAAATTACGTACCTTATAGTTCACTCATTTTAAGTGTATAATTCAAAGATTTTTAATAAGTTTACAGTGTTGTGCAGCTGTTACTGCATTGAATTTTTGGACATTTCCATCACCCTCAAAAGATTCCTTGTGCCAATTGGTAGTCAGTCCTTGTTCCCACCTCAGTCCCTGATAACTGATAATCTACTTTCTGTCTCTTTGCCTTTTCTGGACATTACATGTGAATGAAATTGTACAGAATGTGTTCTTCAGTATGTGGCTTGTTTTTCCTGGCATCTATTGAGACGATAATGTTGGTCTTGCTCTTTGTTAATATGGTGCTGTGTGCTGCGCTGTGCTCAGGCTTTGTGACCCTGTGAACTGTAGCCCGTCAGGCTCCTCTGTTCATGGAATTTTCTAGGCAAGAATACTGGAGTGGTCTGCCATTTCTTACTCCATTTAATTAAATGGCAACCTATTCCAGTTAATTAATATGGTATTAATATTAATTGATTTTCAGATGTTAAACCAACCTTGCTTTCTTGGAATAAATCCCACTTGGTCATGATATGTAATCCTTTGTTGTATGATTCAGTTTGCTGATTCTTTATTCAGTGTCCATCCGTGTCATCCCATATATCTGCATTCCATTGCATTTTTATTGCTGAAGGGTATTTCACTGAATGGATATGCCACAATTTGCTTATCCTTTTCCTGTTAATGGCCATTTGGAGTATTTCTGCTTTTTGGCTATTATGAATAGTGCTGCTGGGAACATTCACGTACAAGTCTGTGTGTGGGCGTGTTTTTATTTCCTCTGGGAAAGAGACCTGAGTGGAATTTCTGGGTTATGTGGTAAATTTATGTTTAACTTTTTAAGAAATTATCAGAATGGCTGTACCGTATTACATTTCACCGTCAATGCATGAGGAATCTTTTTTTTCTCATCCTTGCCATTTTGATTATAGCCTTTCTAGTGGGTGTGAAATGATATCATTGTGGCTTTAATATGAATAAAACTTCATGTGCTGTTGATCATTCATGTGTCTTTTGATGAAATGTGTATTCAGATTGTTTTTTGCTCATATGAAAAAATTGAGTTGTCTTCCTATTGATTTGTAAAAGTTGTTTTTCTGGAGGCAGGTCGAGGGGCATGCTGTGGCTTGTGAGATCTTAGTTCTCTGACCAGTGATTGAATCCAGGCCTTGGTAATGAAAGTGTGGAGTTCTAACCACTGGACCATCATGTGGAATTCCCTTACATGTGTTTCTGGTGGCATATTTAAGAAATCTTTGCCTAACCTAAGCTCATAAAAATATTCACTCCTGTCTTTTCTTACAAGAATTTTATAGTTTTAACTTTGATATTTAGGCCTGTGATCCATTGAGTTGATTTCTTAATGTGTGATTTTAATGTAAGAGTCTAAATTCATCTTTTTGTGTGTGGTTATTCGGTTGTCCCTGTGCAATTTCTTGGAGGGGGGAACCACTTTCTTTTCACTTTTGACTTGCATTGGCACCCTTGTTGAATATCAGTTGACTACAGATGAGTTTTTTTTTTTCTTCGGGAATCTCAATTAGTTTCCATTGACTCATATGTCTAGCCTCATGCAAAGATGGGCACAATAAAGGACAGAAATGTTATGGACGTAACAGAAGCAGAAGATATTAAGAAGAGGTGGCAAGAATACACAGAAGAACTGTACAAAAAAGATCTTCACGACCCAGTTAATCACAATGGTGTGATCACTCACCTAGAGCCAGACATCCTGGAATGTGAAGTCAAGTGGGCCTTAGGAAGCATCACTAC